GCTGTTCATGACCCAAATTGGTCGTGAACAGAAGCGTTCGTGACCCGAGGTACCACTGTATTGGTCCCAAATAGTTTTTTACACTGCCATAACTTCAAATTGTCACTAAACGAGGCCATTGGTAAGTGAGGACTGCCTGTATCACCCAAATGGGTAGAACCTATGTGCATTTGAAAGAATTTATCTTTTATTGTTCAAAGTGCAAATCTTCCAACAAGGTTGTATTAAGATATACTATTTCCGCTAATTAGGATATTTTGTCAGTGATATTACCATGGGTTCATGATGAAAAATCAAAATTGAAGTAATCTTTAATTTTTAGGCTAAGATAACCATCAAATGAGATTTTTGTTTTTGTTTTTTTGTTTTTTAACAAAAATCTTACTAACATCTCCTGCTGAAAAATGTCTGGCCAATGCATGTGGATGATTGGCTCAGACTAACAACGTCCTTCTTGGCCTTATTCCTTCTGCAGAGGAAGCCTTACTGCACAGATTTCCCTGAAGGACTCGCTGCAGGGCAACAACTGAAGATTGAGGCCTCATTGCCCACGGATTGCATCAGGTAACCATAATTCCACCAGCATTTCAGAAGGGTGGGTGGACAGCTGCTATCTTGACATTAAGGCTGTGCAAAGCTTCAAGTGTTGCTTCAGCAGAATCATCCAGTGAACGCAGGTTTGTGTAGTCAGCAGAGATCCCCTTGGATGGAGGAACTCAAATCAGTTGATAAGATGTTCTCCCATGGAATCCTGGGAATCATCGATGACCACAGGAAGCAGCTGGGATGCTTCATTCCTTATATCAGCTGGTCTTCCAGGGCTCTCTGACAATTTCAAAATACTAGTATGAGAAATAGAACCTCAGAAATTGAAACCAAGATATAATGAGATGGGGATTTTGTCAGGGGAATGATGAATCTGATAGGAACGTGAAGGACTGAAATCTCAGTCAAGGTTGCTTTCTTTTCTTTTCTTTTCTTTTCTTTTCTTTTCTTTTCTTTTCTTTTCTTTTCTTTCTTGTCTGTTTTTTTTAGCTTCATGGTGAATTTCCTGTGTGGTAAGGAGGAAAAAGCCAACAGTGCCTTGTTGCTTTTGTTCAAACTGGGTGACCCTAATATGCTTATACTGAACAACGTCCTGGATAAAACCTTTGGTAAAGAAGAGAAGTACAGTAATGTTCCTATAGCCAAAGGACAAAATTTTGACCTGATTGTCATCATTGAAAAAGAAGGCTACAAGGTATGGGTATGAATAAGGTCATGCAGAAGTCTTGCATTTTAGAATTTAATTTATTAGTAATTTCTTTTTTCTTGCCTCTCTTTCTGGTAAACTCAGGACACCTAAGTAGGGCCACCTTCTATTTTCCCCACAACAACCCTGTGAGGTGGGTTGGGCTGAGAGAGAACAGCTGGTCCAAAGTCACCTAGCTGGCTTTTATGCCTAAGGGAGGACTAGAATTCCAACCAGGTCTCCCAGTTTCTAGTCCAGCACCTTAGTCACTACACCAAACAGGCTTCCTGAGATCAGAGTGGTGAATCTGAAAAGCAACTTGTTCCCTTCCTCCACTGGATAGATGGGAATAAGTAAACTACCTATAAGCAGACCTGGTCAAGATTTCCCTCTGAAAAAAATTCTGTTTTCACTCAGAAAAAAAATGAGGTGGCGGGAATTTCCAAAGTTAGGCAGGAACCTCCCTCAGAAATCCTCATTCCAACCAGGTATTTACATTTCATCAATTGCCAAAGCAAGATGTACATTTCAGCCCATCTACTCAGAGCCTTACAAGAGTCCAGCGGAAATATGTTTCCTGGTTGTCCATGCAAGATAAGCCGAGTTCTTCCTGTCTGGGAGGATTTGAAAACCAGCCTGGAAAAGTGAGATTTATCCAGTTTAGGCTTTTCAAGACCAGTGTTTCCCAACCTCAGCAGCTTTAAGATGTGTGGGCTTCAACTCCCTGAATTACGCTGCCAGAAAGTTGCCCAGGTTGTGAAACCCTGCATGAAACTATTCAAGTGAAGGACTTTTGTAGACATCAGTCAAGTTAGAAACATGGTTATCCTTATCCTGTTGCCTCACTGAAGCCTCTATTATCCTAGCAGGCTGGGAGTACTTTGCAGAATTTCAGGCACAGGTTTTCCACCCTAATCACCAGTTACACTTATTGGAAGCTGATCTTGAGATCTTTAGGACTCTGAGCAGAAAGTAAGAAGAATGGTAATCATGGGTAATGGAAAATGTGAATGTTTTCAATCTACAGCAAGCAATCATTTCCTTCCTTCCTTCCTTCCTCCCTCCCTCCCTTCATTCTCTTCTTCTCGACATCCAGGTATCGATCAATGGTGAGGAGTTCTGCCAACGCAAGCATTACATCCCAGTCGAGCAAGTGCGTTTCCTGCAGGTGGAAGGAGATGTGGATGTCGAGGCAATCAAACTGGCAGGTGAAAAAGAAAACAAAGTCGAAGAAAAAGAAGGAGGAACAGACGAAATTCAGTCCCGAAAAATGTATGCGTGTAAAATGAATTTTGGATCTGCATCAATTATGGCTGTATGTCCGCCATGCCCACCATGTCCACCATGTCCACCATGTCCACCATGTCCACCGTGGTATTATTATAACGCTCGTGGTTGCTGCCGTTGTGGTTGTTACATCTGTTGTTGCTGATTTTCTTCAGATGTTAAAAAACTGCAGCCATATAGCAGACAAGCTGCCAGTAAAAATTTCAGGTATCTATTGATGACTTGAGCTTCTTCAATACGATTGTCTTCCATTTAATATCGGTTCATCGTTGATATATTCTTCTGTTTCTCAACCAATCACAGTCAAGGGAGGAGGCAGCAATAGTGGAAGATCCTAATATTGAGTCAAATTTCCTTTTGGGCCCTTGGACAAGCATTTAGGACATGCCATTAGTTATTTTAAAAAGTCTATAATTATTCAGGTCAGTCAATAAAGTTCATGTTTTATACATAATGAAAAACATATGTCTCCCTTCCTTCCTTCCTTCCTTCCTTCCTTCCTTCCTTCCTTCCTTCCTTCCTTC